GAAAAATATTTTTCTATCTTTTTTTTTCTTGCTCTTCAGAGGTATCTTTTTGCTTTAAACAATTGGTTTTTATTTTCACGTGATTGTACTTCTTCTTCAGTAACACCATAAGTCTTAGAGATTCAAGACATAACATTAGAGGACTCAAATAATCAAAAATTTCTCCATTAAAATGAGATACAAGGGAAAGAAGATTGTTGAAGGATTTTTTTTTTTTTTTTTTTTCAAGGTTCTGATACAAGTTTGAAGTTAAGACAATTTGGATTGATATAGTCTGAAAACTTAGCTCTAATTTTGCCTTAAAAAATATTGCAACATATGATCTTATTTATACATATCAAGATGACATATGAACTAATTTCTTTTTAATAAACTTGACTAGATTTAATGGATACAAGACGACTTCTCAAACTACTAGTTGAATTGTAAAATTCTACGAGATACTTGACTAGATCTAATACATAAGTTATTCTAGATCAAATTTGATTTATTTCAACAAGGGTTTCTTTTTTATTCGTTTATATTATTTTTTACAGAGCCTATTAATTTCTTAGCCTTCGTTTGAACATAAATTAATGAATGGTTCATAAATTCAAATAAAGTCACATTATATATATATATATATATTTCAAATACTACGTGTCTTGCTATTTCTCTTTAAAACCGCTTTTAAATTTAATCAAAAAGACGCTAACAAGTCCTAGCCCTGTCAATATACAATGAATTATTTATTTATTTATTTTATTTTTTAATTGTCTTTCTTATACTTTTCAAATTCAATTTTATTCTTTTCATCAAAAATACTTTCTTCTTCCACACTTGATGTTCTTTCTCGATCCCCAGCACTCTCCCGCTAGCGAAAAAATAAAACGAAGAGATTATCTTCATAAAAACAAAGAAAAAAGGTTCTGACAAGCATGTTTATTAAACTTCATCACCTAATGACTCATTATTAAGTTGGGTGCAGAGTTTACTCCATTGGTTGGATAAAGGAAGTGAACTCTCGCTTTTAATACAAAGATCATTTTATAAAAATGTAATTTTTAGAACTATTGATTGTTATGCAAATAATAAGACATTTACAAGTTGAATGAATAGATTATTGGGCAGCTAATGAGCCTAATTTGTCTGTATACAGTTAAATCAAAATCTTTATTGGTGACTAAACTAAAATAAAACTGGAAATTTAGTGATGAATTTGGAATATAAAATGAGTGACTAAAACGAAATTTCTTTCAAGTTGAGTGACTTCTAATGCCTTTTGTCCCGGACAATAATCTAAGAAAAATTAGTGCCATATGGGAAAGTGCATTAAATTTTGTGACAGAAATGTCACTCCTCACTAAATTATTACCAAATCCAAAATTTTGTCCCAGGTTTAAAATAAAAAATTTACCAATTAAAATGACTGGGTTCAAAGTTGGTGATTTCTAGTGTTTTCTACACATATTTTATGCATTGGACATTAAATAAATTAACATGATTTGCATGTAAAAGAATGGGTTGAAAACAAATATAAATAAATAATATCTCTCTCTTCATCAAAATTTACTTTTATATGAATTGCTTTCAACTTTATTTCTATGCTCGACGTGGCACATTAAGCAACATAAAAATTACATGATGAAAATCTAAAGTTTGTAATTTTCATAATTAACTGAAGACACTCTACACTTTTTTTTTTCTAAATTAATAATAAATAAAAAAAAGACTTGAGCATGTTTTATTTTGAAGAGAGTATGATTTAAAAAAAAAAAATTACTGTAAAAAATAGTTTAATCTATTGGTTCTCCTTCGATTAAATCAGCTTTTGAGGATAATAAGAAATATAAGAGATTAACATTCCGATTGTATGTGAGAAATGCAAAAAAGTTATTACTGGTTGAGGGGACAATCAATCACGATAAGAAAGAAGTTGAGAATGTCTTTTTTATTCTTGTATACTTTCAAAGAAACCTTGTTTGTTTAGCCCCCGTTTGGCCCCTGTTTTTTGGAAATGAAAATGGGTGAAATAGTATTTTTTTGAAAAATGAGTGATTGAAAAAGAAGTAAAAGTTTTCGATTTACGTGTAATATTATTTTATGAAAGATTGTGTGGTTGAAAATAAAAGTGAGAAAAATTGAAATGTAATTTAATGGAATTTAATGGGGACCAAACGGGGGCTCAGTGGAAACAGCTATTCATTCTGAAATCCAAAATTGAGACTCATTTAAAGAGAAATGATAAAAACTTTTGGAGCTTATTTATTGTAAATGGAATACTCACACACCTACAAAGAAGGATGAGTCCCAAGTTGGTATTGTGAAAACATCATACAAACAATCTCTAGTTTTCCATCTAAACTTCTTGTTTCAAGTTTAAATTTATTGCTCATTATGAGTTGAATTTTGATATTTTAAAGTCAGTTTATAGTATCCTTTTGCATGAAGATAATCAATTTGGTTATTGCGGTCAACTCTATTATGTTTAGGCATATTGGCCTGCAATGGTGCCATGCAAGTTTTGGGATAGAAATTAATATATTATATGTAGTGCAAGATGTGAACCTTGACTCTTAATCAATTGAATTGGTGAAACAAAATATGTTCTGGTCTTTTTTACTTGGGATCGCAATAATGTATTATGCAATAACAGTTTGACTAGTATATTAGCGGAAGTGAAACTACTAACACATTTTATTGGGACAAAAGTTAATGAATTCTTAATACAAATATTCTCTTTGTGACTTTTTAAGTATTGTGGTCGTCATTATTATTCGGGGCAAAATACGTATAGTGCTTCTAACAATGTAGTTACCAACCTTAAAAATAAACATTTTGATCCTTATGTTTAAATTTTGTTGTTGATGTTAGTCCAAGCTCATAATTTCAAAAATCTATTAACACTAGTGACCAATTTTTTCCTTCTTAAAGGTTGTTGATCAAACTATCACAAGCACCATAGATTGGGGACCAATACTACAAGTTTCCCTATATTGGTAAGTTCACACATTCTTAACATCAAACATACGGAAAATAGCCTCCAAGGTCCCCACAATTTTGACTGGTGTTGCACCTTGGTCTAAAATCTTCAAATCATACCAATTAAGTCTCCAATCTTTTAATTTTAGTAGCAGTTAGGTTCTCATTGGACAGTTTTACCCTTGCCTTCAATTAAGAAGCTAAAATTCTATTGAAAAGATTATATTTACTCTTTTCTTTAAATAAACCAAAATAATAATAATAATAATAATAATAATAATAATAATAATAATAATAATAATAATAATAATAATAATAATAAACAAGAATGAAAGAAAAAATAAAAATGAAATTACTCTTCTCCTATCCATCCAGGCCACACCCGTCAAGATAACTAAAAAAGGAAAAATAGATAATTAGAATATATAAAGATATACAAAAAAAGAGGGAAAAAAAAAAAAGAAAGAAAGAAGAGAAACTAGTGAAAAGGTTACAAGAATTAGATGTTGACCACTCGATAACAGGTCAAGGTCACAATAGTATGTCAAATGTCACAATATACACAGTATGATCACAATCATAAATCGCACAAGGTCAGTCAGAATTACAAATTTAGTATCAATTACACTTTTTTTAGGTTGCATATTATTTATTAGTCACAAATTATCTATTTTATCAATTACATATTATTTATTGGTCCTAAATTAATCATTTTCTTGATCACAATCATCTAAATAATTGATCACGAACATTTTTAATACCACCCCCCCACCTTACCTTACCCCACCTCACCTCACCTCACCTCACCACCATGGGCACCAACATTGCCCCGCCATCAGCAATCATTATTTGAAAACCACCACCAACAAAGATCATCTCAAAACTTTGACTATAGAAATTGAAGGAGAAAGAAATCTCCCTCTTATCTACTGGGAGTCCAGTTTAGCGTCACAAACTTCCGCAGGATCTTTTTGTTTTTTAGAATTGTTTATAGTTTTTTTATCCAAACCCCCCCCCCCCAGTCA